GAAGGTCCCTGATCTTATCAAAGCAAAACTTTTCAATATAACTGTCACCAAAGCAATATAGCTACATAAGACAGTTTGATTTAATCAAATAAATGCTTTCCTGACAAAAAAAAAGGCTGCAGTCAGATGATATTCAGCCAGCTCTTATAATGTCTACAAAAGATGCACAAGAAAGTCTTTGTTCATGAGACTTGCAGTCACACTTCCAGTCCAACACAGCGCTGAAGCACAACCAAACTCTGACACCATTTGTCCCCACCTTACTAAGCAGCCTCGGCAGAATCCAGACCCAAGGTCTGCCAGATACTTAGTGCAGATTGGCCAAGGAGCACAGTCAAACCATTAGGAATATGTAACCTACAGGTAACTGCTCTTCAGACACACAGTAAACAGGGAATCTTCAGCATGAGTGTAGAACATCCAAGAAATTATAGACTGATGGGAATATGGCATTGGGACAAAAAGACAAAGAGTTCTGAATACATGGATAATGCCAAATTGAGTATACTTGGGACAAAACTCACAACACACCAAGGCAGATTTTCAAAAGTGCTCCAGAGATAAATTCAAGTAACTTGTGCCATCACAATATGTACCAAGCTTATAGATTTTATACCTAAAATGGAGGAAAAAAATTAGAGCAGAAACAGGAAGAGATGACTGTCCCTAGATGTCTGCAGAGCCTAAAACCAGAGATATAAATTATTTCCCTTCCTAGTCTTGCTCTCTTCAGATTTCTGTTCTATTTTCTTGCTGGATCCTAATCTTTCAGATCATGACTTTCTATCTGATTTCACTGTTCATTACATCTTACTGTCCCTTTCCTTTCTCCTGTTTCAGTCTATTATCCCCACTCCATGTCCAACTGCACCTACAAAAATATCTCAAATTCTGCCATTTCCTCTTGCTTACTCAAAGCTTCATTATAGTTGGGGCCTTCACACACTGCTGGATAGAAATGTTCTTCTGCTACTCAGCACTGAGACAAGTGTTAAAGATAGAGGGCAAAAAGCTCTTTTTGCTGCTTCATAAGGTGGATCTTGACATTGGTAGTCTATCTTCTTTCATAAGCAGAGCTCCCACAGACTTTAAAAGGAGACCTATATATTTAGGCAGAGAAGAACATTGGAGTCAAGATCCACCCATGCAGATCTGAAGATAATTTTCATTAGCTAGGAAGTCAAACACAGAGACATAAAAAGTTTTGACACAGAGTCATCTTAACTTGGCTGGGAGTTTCTGATGTGAAAAGCAAGAAGTTCTATAGCCTAGAAAACTGTAAAGTGCTGAAAAACCTAGTTACCAAGAGGGCAATTTCATTCTTTATGTAGCGTTTCACATTTGAATGGTAAGTAACCACAAGAGGAGAGAAAAAAAAAAATTAAAAAAAAGAAGAATTACACATTCAACAAAGGATCTCATCTGCAACCACCAGGCACTTCCCATATATAATCTCAATGTAAGCTGTGTCCAGTGCCCTGCAATTTTGGGTGCTGACCATTATGTTATGACCCTTTCACCACTGGTCATCTTGCTGCCTATCAGAGAAAATACACATTAGCACCGGGAATTAAGAAACATCCCCGACAGAACCATCATCTCCGTATCTCATCCTTCATGCTGTGGAACACCCGTTCCAGCAGGGGACTCCACTTGACCAATACAACACAGCAGCAAGTCACTAAAACATAATTAACATGCAATGGTGACTAATTAGGTAACATCTGACCAATAGCTGGGACACTCAGCTGCCTTTGCCTGCCTCACCACACAAACACATTTGCAACTCGCACATTAATCCAAAATGTACCCCATTTCCCCCAGCAAGCACAAGCCAAAGTGAGGATTCCAATCTGTTGCACAGCACAGTGTGTAGCTACAGCATTTCCATACACTCCAGCGTGCACAGCATGCCTGAAATTAGACCCAAATCTTTTCTCTGCAAACAGCATGCTGTAAACATTCATGTAGTGTTACAAAGAACACCCAAATACACAGCAGCCTCCATCTTTTTAAGATTCCTATTGCTCCTGCTTTGTACATAGTGTATTTTTTACTTCGCTTCAAAAACTTTGATTTTAGGGTGTTGTACATCTATACATTGAAACAACATCATGAGTTATGACTGACTGATGTACAGCTGTTTAGGGACCAAAATCTTAATTCCATTGCTTAATCACTCCTGTACATTAGCTTATTAACAGAGGCCTGTTTATTGACTCCACTTCGTGCCAAGTGCTTACGGCGGCTACTCTGAGGTCCCCAGTGGAGTCTCTCCATACATGTACCACAGGTAAACTGAGGTCATGCTGTTCTTCCAGCTGTTCTGGTGCCATTCTGAGAAATAGGGTCAACAGTGCATCTCATTTATTTCCTGATGCTTGGCTTGCATCCTCTTCTCTCTAGAGAGAGCGCTGCTCACAAGAGCACTTTACTTTTATTGCTCCTGTTAAGCTCTTTTGTTCTTCAGTGGAGGCTGCTCAGCCCAGCAAGACCCACAGCTCAGGCTCTCCAGCAGAAGCAGCGTCTTGGTTTGTTTGAAAAAATGGGCCTTCTCCCTTTGTCTCTGCTGGAGTTGCGTTTCACTCAACCAATTCCATAACAAAACCAACTCATGTGGCACTTGCAAGAGCAGAGCTTTTTTTAATGCTATGCCTCCCTTGTCCCCATAAATACTCTGCCCCAACTTGGCAGCAGGCAGAAGGGCCCAGCTCACCAGGGCCCAGTCCTGTTCAGGGACTTCTGCAATTACTCAAGAACGTCCTTGCCCTGAGCTCACAGATACGTCTTGATTCACTGGCTGTCAGAGACAATTCTGTTACATGTCTCCCCAAAAGATTACTGGATTTTGATTAAGAAAGGTCAAGGGCAGCTTTTCCCTTTCAATATAAAGGGAATGACTTGAGGAAAAAAATACTCATCACCTAGCACTAGGACTTTTATCTCCACTTGAAAAATTAAATTGCCTGAAGTGATGGGAGGCTTAGGGCAGGGTATGCACAGGAATGTTTTCATGCAAATAAACTCCTAAATAATTTATCTACATGCTATAATTTTACATCCCACTAAAAAAAGTGGGGTTTTTATTTACAGGTGTCTTAGCAGAACAAAATGCAAAGCTCACATAGCCAAGACTCAGATAATACCCATTTGCCAGATCAATTTTAAATGTACATTGTATTACTGACCCAGCATACCAGAGATTTAGATTAATCCTTAACGCTTCAATACATGCCCCAAAATAACTTTCCCAATATTTGATTTTCCTTTGAAGGAAAGTGTGTCAGAGATATAATTAGCTCTAGCTGCAGACTCCAAATATCTGCCTGGCACTGCTCTCAGTAAAACACACCTTCAGCCAGTGTGAAATTGGTATAGCTACATTGAATCTGCTACATGCAACTGAAGTATTTCACACCAGCTGAGGATCTAAGTATACATGCATAAATGAGGTAAAAATATGTTTTCACCTGGAATAATAATGCTGCAGAACACATGGCAGGTTGGGCTGAGTAAAACAAATGGCAAGTTCATAAGAAATATATTCTTCTAATTGAGTTTAAGGCACTAAATAACTGCTGTCTTCTAACAGAGAATCAGATTCATGGTGGGGATCTCTACATTAATTAGGAATAAGACTGTCACATGGATTTTAATGAAATAAAGTTATGTCTGTGGCTTCTCTAGGATATTAAAATCAATTTATATGAGGAAGACAAGTATTGGCTGGCTTTTTGTAGGAACTGGGGCAGTTCATTAAGGAAGATAGCAGAAGTTAATGCTGTCTTTACAAGCTCTTCTTTGTTCAGGTACGAATTCTGAGACCCCCAATTACGAAGACAGAACTGCAGAAATCCAGCAGGCTGGTAGAACACAACACAAATTACTGCCCTCCTACTAAAGCACAGTGTACCTCGTGGCTGTGAGCATGAGGCACTGTGATAGCACTTAAATAAAATACTCAGCAAAACCTTTTTTCTCAGATAGAAGCTTCCAAACATATTTACCTTAATGCATTTGACCACCTGGAAATAACTTACCAGCATAGCTGCGGACAACTAATGTTCCACATCCTGCATTGCTAAACGCCACACTGAAAACTCAAAACTAAATGGGAGGCTTTTAGCTATCCTAGTCTAAAACCAAGGCTGCCAAGCCCCAGTTAACACCTAAGAATGCAAACATTCAGGTCTCTGTCACTGGACATGACAACCCTCAAGTGCACTGAGCAGTTCAGGAACAGGCAAGGTAGAAGAGCTAAGGGTTTCCATCTCCTGTCACCTGTGGAGCCTCATCAGATCAATCCTCAGAAAAAACTACAGAAGACATTAGTGGTGTTACCTTAATACTCCAGTCTTATTTAGTGTTTCAGTGAGGAAAGCACTCATTTCACACACATTAATAAAAAATTCAGATTCTTCTGCTGTATGATAAGAAGCATGAACTTCCAAATTAAAACTTTTACCCAAAATAATTAAATTTTAATGAAACACATGAAGTTTCTCTTTTAGCTCTAGTCAGAGGTAAGGCTGGTGACAGCAGACACCTCAGCCCTTCACCACTACCAAATAGCTCCTTGACCACTCCAGACCCAAGTCTCCCAGGTAAAAGGGACAGGACCTGTGTAGTGACACATTCTCTGCACAGCCTTTTATATGCAGAAGTTTCTCATTTTCCACCTTTCACACCAACAGTTTCAGCACAAATAATACAATTTAATTCTTCATTCGCTACAGAAGACCACAGAGATGTTTCACAGTATGGGCCTGCAAACCCTGTGTGGCCTTTTCAGAAGCGTTGCAAGCTTCTGTTTGAAAACTCAGCTGCAGAAGTTCCCTCTGACCACATCAGTGCAATAGGGGCTGTAACACGACAAAAGCAGTAGCCAGTGTTTTGATACAAACAGGATTTTAATTCAATCCAAGTGTTTTCTGTACAACAGAAAGGTTTTATACAAAGAAAGGAAGCATTAACTCAGTTGCAAAAACAGGAACAAAGACGTTTCTGAACTCTAGTGCTTGAGAAAGCCAAGAATTTTTTTTAACAAACCATGCGAGGTATTGTTATACATGTTATAATCCTGGTTTGGGTCAGTTTCCACCATGTACAGCTCTCCTGCATGGACATCCTCAAAGTTAGCACTGAAGTTGTTAGGATTAAACTGAACCCATACAGTATACCTGTAGTCAATGGTACGCATAGAATAGCCCATGATTCTGATGTCTTTCAGCCTTGGCTTGTCAGAGTTCCACTGGGGAGTGTCTGCAGGCCGAGGATATTGGGTGAAAGCAACAAGCTCTTCATTAAAACACCTGTCAGCATCATCACACCCCTCCTCCTCTTCAGAGGCATTAAAATAGCGGACAATGCTTGTCCCCTCAGTGCACAGTGCAACATGGAACGACACCTTTGGGCATGCAGGAGGAACCTGCAGGCCAGCAAGTTCTGCAAGTGTGGGAAACAGAGACACCAGCTCCACCACTTTTTTGCTTTGCCCTAAAAGAAATAATATAAAAAAATCAAGTTATGGAACATGACAGTTTTCTGACACTGTTAGAACATTATAGAAACTTATTCTGATAATTCAGTTGGTGTTTTATTGAAAGTGCTTTGTACTGGATTTGTGGGGTACCAAAATCAAGGCAACTAAGGGGTGGCAGTTAGCTCTGAAGATGCCAATCTACGCATTTATGATGTACTTTTATAACAAGAAAATTTTTGCACTTATGTTTCTCAAATGTGCAGCCTTCAAGACAATAATATCCATTACTTTGAAAAAGAACTCTTCAGAAAGACAAAGCAAAATCTCTAGGTGCCTGTAGGCAAAGTATCATTACATCATTACCACCTCTACTCCTTATATATATCCACTGCAAACAAAAAGTAAATGCTGGAAATTTACCTTGAGGTACCGAACCTACAACGTGGCTAAAAGGGTCAAGGTAGGGGAAGACCCTTGCTCCTTGACTGACAGAGGAAGTTGTCATTCCTGGTACATAAAACATCAGTGGCACACGGGTAGCAACATCAAAATTGCTGTATTTTGCCCATTCACCATGTTCTCCAAGGGACCACCCTAGGTGACAAAGAACACAATTCAGAGCAGACACTGGATTGCAATTCAGTAGCCATTTATTTTCCATTGTAAATTTGACTCTGACTGTTGAGGCTACAAATCTGTTATAAAGGTTACATTAAAAGGTAAATAACAATCTGTATTTCTATACAACAGTTTTTTTCTCTAATGCAAAAGCTATTTCAACAGCCAACTAAATCTTGCAACTTGATGCTCTTTTATTAAGGAAATAATTACACCTTTCATTATTTCCCCTACTCTAGATTAGAATTAGAAAATTAGCATTAAAACTGCAGAAAAGAGGAACTGGGGTGTGTCACAGTGCCTGCAAGAGTCTCCAGATCAATTCCACAAAGCACTCATTTAAGTTTTGGGCAGCTGCCAGCTCTCCAATACTCCTGTTAACACTGTAACTGAACACCCCTCAGAGCCAAGGCTGCTATCTATGCCAGACTGCCGTATCAGGATGTTACCCCTGAGGAAGCAATAGAGATAAAACTTTTTAACTCTCCTCTTCCTCTTGAAAGTGATGCCAACATGACTTCCTTCCAGGCAGATTTACTGCCAACTTCACTTTGGGGGAAGACAAAGGAACTCTATGACAGCTATGTTAACACATGATTTTTTTGGATCACTTTGCCAGCCACAGTACTGGAAACACCAACTGTTTACAATTATCCACAGCAAGGAAAAGAGGAATTCAGCTTACAATGGAAAGTCCAAGTCAAACTGACGAGTCAGATGGAACACCTAGAGTCACTTTAGTACAAGTATTAATCCCATTGCTCTATAACTCATAAGGGCTTGTTTATATACACATGCTCATAGAAGTCAACCAAATTAACTAAACATATGACTTTAAATTGATTTAAATCACATCCTAACTGGTTTATTTCAGCTAAGCCATCTCCCAATTAAAGTAATCATGAGAGTGTTATTTTAGTTAATATAAAGTATTGAAACAAGCATTAAATGCTTGAAGTATTTGTTCCACAGTTCAAAATCAGTTTTTTACCACCAGGATCCAGAGTGTGCAAGACCTCAGTTATGAGGGGGGACCATATCACTATCACTTTAGATGCTCTGCAAGCAGCAATGACAAGTGGAAGAAAACACACTTGAGCAGTTAATGAGAAAGCCTGTCACCCACTGTACCAGATGGCTTTGTACAAATGGTAAGGGGGGAGGAGTGGTTGCTATCCTTTCACAGCACTGTTCTCAGCACGAGTCATTCCTTGGGTGTGGGGTGGGAATACAGCAAGCTCAGCCCCTTGTCCTGGCACACAGCCTCAGCCCTCACGAGCAAACCCTCGACCTGATTACAAAGGTGCCTGCAGGGGGAGACAACTGTGCAGAAGCCAGTGCCAGTCCCTTCAGTCAGAGGCAGACTAGCCAGAGATGCAAGGTATGGTCGCTCTGCTATACATGATATAAACACACACTGGATTAATATGCCAGCACTGAGTTGCACAACTAAGCTATTAACAGTGAGATGGACAAAGATTTAAATGCTTACCATGATCAGCAGTAAAAACTACTATTGTGTTGTTTGAGAGTCCTACATTATCCAAAGCATTCAGGAGCAGGCCAACTTGCACATCCATGTAAGACACTGCTGCATAGTAACTCTGACGAATCTGCCGCTGCAAGTTAAGAAAACAGGAGAGAGGGAAAAAAAGTTAGTTTTTTTCCCAGAGACACACACACACACAGAGGAGAATCACTGGGCAGCTGTGTAAAAGAACTAAAGAATTTTACTTGCAAAGCTTTATTTTTTAAGTGTCTGTAGTCTGATTAATGTTCCAGAAAAGGTAAGTAGGGAGGTGCAGTAAGAAAATTCTCTCTTCCAGAAGTGCTTTCAAGCAAAACATTGCAAACCAATTCATTTTTCTTCTCTTGGTCCAACCAGTGCACCTTACTTTGGCATAAGCACCAGAAAGTCAAGGAAAGTCTTGCAAAAGAAGATACACAGGGTGCTGGCTTGAAACAGACAAACAGACTCCGACAAGGAACACAGACACAACATTCGTAGCTGCTACATGCATTCCCTCATATACAAACCAAACTGCAGCGACAGCGAAGGTCTGCCTGCAGAGCTAGAGGTGACAGCATGCAAAGAAGGGAATTTTGCAAACTGTCAGTTGCTGAGTAACTGGGAACATCTAAGAGCAGCTGACTCCTCCCTTGCACTTGAACAAGTGAAGGCAGTTTGACTTCAGTGCACTGTATTGACAGCTTACCTGGAAGTCATCTGGAAGAGGTCCATAAGGGAAACTAACATTTAATGCTTTCACATCATCCCTCTGTCTGATATCCGTCCAGGGGTTGTATGCCACAGAAGGTAGTTTCTCAGGCACCCAGGGATCTGGAGCTAATGTGATGTTTTCCAAGGGGTACAACTTGAGAAATTCCTTTACAATACAAAATACACATAAAGACTCCCCTCACCTCCAAGATATACTGTAAACTTTGTGTTGTAAAACAGCAACCATTTACCTTTAATGTTCTTACAGTTTACAAGGCTCCATTTCCCTTCACCCAGAATGTAAAACATAGCAATGCTAGTCATCCCCAACCAATTCCTGAACAATACTGAGACAGTAAGTACCTAAGCCCAGCATCCTGTTATCTCAAAGCAACACTGCAATAAAAGGTCCAACGTCATTTTCTCTGAAACCAGTAGTTTTACCACCAACAAAAACAAGGAATGGAATACAAGACCTTGTAAGGCCTCATTATGTCACACTCCATCGAGCTGAACCCTATCTGCAAGCAGTAGCAGTGACTGTTATGGTGGTAGAAGCCTAGCTTTTGGTTGAGCAGTCACAACTCATTAAACACTCTGAAATGCACCACAGGTGACTCCTGAAGCTACACCAAATCAAGGCTGGTTTTCACTTTGCTTTCTAGAAACAACAGCAATAAAGCATTTGTGGAAACAGCTTCAAAAAGCAGAAGCAACACTTGTCTAAGTTCCTTTTCCTGCAGCCTCCAGTTTCCTCACCTGTGGGTACCTCAGTGGGACATGTGGCTTGTGGTAACCAACAGCCAGAAACAATTTTTGCTTATTGGTTTTCATAACGTTCAGTAAGCGTATGGCCTCTTCAGTACTCTGAATATCAGGCAGAGTACCTCTGGGCATTTCTGCCACATCCACAGGGCATACCAAGTTTGCATAAAGTTTTCCATCTTTTCCCCTGCAAGTCTGTATTTTAAAAAAAAAACAAAAAAAAACCCAAAACATAATTAGTTAAGTAACTTCTGTAAAAGTAAAGATTAAATCCTCTGTTCCATACCTTTTAAGCCACTTTTTCCTCAATCCTTCTATTAACAAAAGAATACAACTTCCATGCCCATGAAAAAGCAGAAATCCTCTCTAAAGCTGGGCAGAAGATTAAATGCAGTTGTATGGGGGGAAAGCCTACAGCTTCTATGATGAATAGAATCTCTGGCCTACTGGCAATGCAGCAGAATTCGGTTACACTATATACATGCATTCTAACTCCTTCTGATCCCAAGAGTTCATAAAAAGCTGCCTGGAAGCTTCTGACTTAGTTTCTGAGCAAATGCCAGCAGCGGCTGATGTGCAATCAGTGAAGAGAGATAAATTAGGCTAAACAGTCGCCTGGGAGAGGTGGCCTCAGCAGGTTGTTCAGGAGAGTTGCTAAATAAACATACTTTTCTTTATGTTATGGATACAAATATTGCTGTTGTGAAACTGAGTGTTTTCCAGCAGTAAACACAGGACCAAAGCACAGCCAAGGCTGTCTATAGCCTCATGGCTGCAGCTCTTGCTAAGCAGTGTGCAGACTCCAACACATGATGCTAATGCAATGTTTGCATAAACATAAACCAGATTCTTTTGGGTCACACTTGAGAGTAACAAACATTCTAGAAAACTGAATCAGACTATAAAGTTCCAGGTTATTTAAAGAGTACTTTAATTATGACCCCCACTCACTCAGCCCTGAGCTCTTTATTGCATTAAGTCCACCAAAACTATTGGCAATGTTTTGTCACCTACTAAGCAAAGCCAGATCAGTGTACAAGTTGACAACACTTTTCAGACAAAGGACTTCATCACCTAGACACAAATTAAGATCACTCTTGCTTATATCTCACTAACTTAAGTTTCCAAATTCTAATTTAGAAATACTCAAAACATCTGCAGGATGGGCACATGGATTAAGAAGACATAGCTGAAGATCTAGGCCTTCTTTTGGAAGGCAAAGAACCAAAGTATCAAGGTGGTTATTTATTTTCCTGCACAAGGTTACAGTCTCAAAACCTACAGAGTACAGCTTGTGTTTGATAAAAAGAACTTGGTTATATCCTGAAAACCCTTGTCTGTTAAGAGTCCCACTAGTCACCCTTACCTTATCATTTTCATACTTTTCGGTTGAAGGATGAAAGGGTGGAATGGACCAACTGTATGGATAGTCATCACTGTAATTGGATGAAACCCCTGAAAACAAAAAAGATATTAGAAATGCTCTAATAGGTCACTGAACCAGGAAGAGCTCAAATACATTTAACTTGTCTTCAGTTGTTTTTTTTCAAATATACTAAGTGAAGAAACATTTCAAATTATCTTTGACAACTGAGAAAAAGAAAACCAAGAAATAAAAATCAAAAAGTTTAAGACAGACATTTTCCCCCAAAATACACCTTTTACTGGTGAGAGAGATTCAAGCCTGTTGAAGAGCCCAACTTCAGGGAACAGCAAAAAAGAACATCTAGAAAAACCCCAGGATTAATAACAGTGTGCAGTCACATTGTTGATCAGCTTTACTATCAACTGAAAGTTCATATATCCACACAAGTTTAGTTCTAGGATAAAGAACTACCAAAAAGAAGGTCAGTGTTATGGTATTTTTCAACTCAGTAGTGTTACTACTTATTAACTAGTGAACTAATTTCCTACTGAACTTGTAGCATTAGCCATACATTCTATATGTCCTGATCCAGACTCACAGCCTATTAGGAAACATGAAGTGTATACAGGCAGAACTAAGTTCTCAATATAGACAGGAATCACACATCAATACTTGTCTATTTGTGAGACTATACATGTTAAGCATTTGTACATTAAGGTAATGACAATTCAAACCATACCAGGATGAAAAACTTTCCCCACAGACAGGGTCACGTAGCCATTTTCCTTGAAATACTGGGGCATTGTGGAATAATTCCCTGCATGCACTCTCCAGTAGGAGTAGAAATCGTACAGCCGAGTGGTGTCAGGTCTGCGGCTGGTGAGAAACGACACTCTACTGGGAGCACACAGGGCTTGCTGAGGAGAGAGCCAGCCAAAGAGAGAATCAATTTGGAACCAAAAGCAAAGCATGCATACAAACTGACTTGGGCCTAGCTGGACAAAACATCTGAAGACTTGAGAACTGCAGAGAAAGTGTTTCATATCACTTCGAGCTGGAATGAACAGTATCCTTACGGAACATATCAATTCCTAATTGCAAGCTTTTAGCAAGAGAGACATTTACCTATCTATAATTTTTCCTCAAATAACCAATTCCTAAGCGCTAGAAACTTTGGTTATGGAGCTAGTAGCACTAAAGAAAAATAAAAATTTCAGGCTCTGTAAAGGCAGTGCTTTTTGAAATCTGGTAGCTCATATCACATGGAATTAAGCAGCAGCGGCAGGGGGACTGTGCTGATAAAACCCAAAGTCTAGTTGATCTGGACTGCCTTAAGAATAATGAAAAGCTAAACACAGAAGGTCTGGCTTACGGTCCAAAGGCCTTACCAATTCTGCTTCAGACTGACAAGAACCAAGAGTTATTGCTTTGAAGTCCTATTCCATAGTCAGAATTAAACTCAAACTTCTAATTTCTCAGAAGAGAGAAACTTGAGAATTTAATCATCCTATGCAGAGAATTCAAGTAAAGAGTAATTACTGAGATTTTGAGTCCTCTATTTAAGAGTGATGCTCACCACACAAACTGCCTTCACAGCAATCTAAAGAATAGATTTCCTCTAAAGAAAAGATTCAAAAGTAAAACATAATCTTTTCTAAGTGGTATAAAAAAGAATTCTAATTTAGTAAACCAGCATTTTTAAGCAGCACTTGGCTGCTAACAGTGAAAATGCTTGAGTGGCATTATACTCCTCCAGGGGCTACACAAGTATCACAATTTAAATGCTCTGTTTTCATTTTTCTCACCTTGGTAAAGATAGATTCACACACTGCAGTTCAGCCCAACCATCTATTTTCAACTGGAAATAAAGTTAATAACTACTTGTTTTTTCCACTGGTCTGCCTAACACCTACTGAGATAAAACCAGTATTTTGCATATAGAAATCATGTTTAAGTCATTTTTCTCACCTGGGCATACGCATTGCTGAACACAACACTTTGAGAAGCAAGTTGATCAATGTTGGGAGATTTCACAAGCTTATCTCCATAACAGCCCAAAACAGGACGCAGATCATCCACAACTATGAACAGGACATTCATGCCATCTATGAAGAAGCAGAATTGGGAAAAAATCAACTTGAGCTCTATTAAGCAGAGGCTACTTTGTGCTAGTTTATCAGTTTTTAACCCTGAAGTATACTTAAAAAAATTAATAAAATGAGCAAGAAGGTCGAGTATCTTTGAAAGGAAATATAAACAACTGGATTAATTTTTCAACAAGTAGGAATTTTTCTTTGACCTAGCCAGAACTACAGTGGTTTTCACTTCCCTTCCTATGTCACTGCTTGCTCCCGCGGCACTTTCTCCCGGTGCTTTCAGCAGGTTACAGAAAGGTGGTGCAAAACGAACAGGTATTTTTTGTCTACCTACTACTGAATTCTACAGCCTGCAGGCTTTGAGAAGGACACTAAGCCACACGTAAACAACACTGACGCTCTATAGCGCTGCTCCCTACAGATCTCCTTCGAGTTAACCGCACACATGTTTAAAACGCGCTCTCTCAGGGTGGCGAAGCCAGCAGCTCCCGG